AAGGTATTAAACTGATCAGAAAAATACTAAACACACCACTCCTATCTGGTGGCACATTAGCTTGACCGCGCAGTGCCCCAAATTTGAATTAAGAGGACCGACCAAGCATCTTCTTCCATCTCCCTGTTACAGAAATCAATGCCATATCCATACAAATTGTACAGAATGTCCAGGATAGTTTTCCAGGGACAAATGTTGTCGCCTGTTGAACGAGGTGACCTTGCTCGGGTCCCAGGTGTACGGTTCCTAAAATGGCTGCCATATACACGTCCACTGATAGGAGACGCGGAAGGTATTAAACTGATCAGAACAATACTAAACACACCACTAATAAGGTTTCTCTCCTGTATGGCTCCTCAAATGATGCTTAAGATTAGAAGCGGCTGAAAAGCATTTCTCACACTCCGAACAAAAATATTTTTTTTTAACATTCTCTCCACTTTGAACGAAATGACGTTTGGGAAGAGATTAACATAATTAAACACAGGCAGTAAAAATACAGTTTTTAGCCATACCCTGTAACTTTAAAACTACACATCCCATCTTCATAATTACATATTTGGAATCAGCACACTTAAAACATAAACATAACCAAAAATCAGCCAAATCCATCCAGGGGTTAAAAAGTTAGCTGGAGGTCCCTTTATGACCGACTGCAAGCACATTTTCCTGCCCAAAACAGTTCCATAGATTTGGGCTGTGAGTCGGTCTATTTCAGGCTGAAAAAAAGACTAAGTCCCATCGCCGAATGGGACTTAGTCTCTGCAGCTGAAATAATTTCCCATTTACTGAACCAAGTGGGAAATAGCAAGGCAGGCACAAAGGGTTTGCACCAGGTCTGGGGACACAGGGGACACCGTCTTAAAGGGGCCGTGTCCCCAACAAGTCTGGGGACACGGCCTTAAAGGGGCAGTGTCCCAATCTTCCTGATGTCCCAAAAAAGGTGTTTAAAGGGCCAGCACCAGTCACATAAAGAGTCCATAAGCCCCAATATGCCCACCGACAGTCTTAAAGGGCCATACACACCAAATAAAAGTGCATACATTTTCACAATCTCCCAGGGGCCATAGTCATGCGGGAGGAGGCTGGCAAAGAGGCTTCTCCACAACCCAGGGAAACAGGGCAATTTGCCATTTAAAGGGCCCGTTACAAATAGCAGTTTGTAACAAGGTGTCAATCCATATCTGCCAAGTGACCCGATGTAGGGGGAACAGTCCCTATTCTGCTCTGTGTCAGTGTGTATCAGGGATCCTTAGGACAGGTGTCAATCCATATCTGCCAAGTGACCCTATGTAGGGGGACCAGTCTCTATTCTGCTCTGTGTCCGTGTGCATCAGGGGCTCTGAGGACAGGTGTCAATCCATATGTCAAGGTGTCAACATGTCATGTCAGGTGTCAATCCATATTGATTGTGATTTAGGAATGTTAGGTGATTTCTGCCCTTTATGGATTAAAACCAGACTCTGTATCAACTGTGTAATTTTCCATGGGAGTTTTGCCATGGATCCCCCTCCGGCATGCCACAGTCCAGGTGTTAGTCCCCTTGAAACAACTTTTCCATCCCTATTGTGGCCAGAAAGAGTCCCTGTGTGTTTTAAAATTAGCCTCCCCATTGAAGTCAATGGCGTTTCGGGCGGTTCGCCGGTTCGCGAACATTTGCGGAAGTTCGCGTTCGCCGTTCGCGAACCGAAAATTTCGGGTTCGCGACATCACTACTTTTCAAAGCATTGCATTGCTTTACAGATGGGGCTGGTAGAAAAACCGAATGAACTAATGAACTAAAATGAACTGATTTGCCTCAATTTGTGTATTAGTTCATTCGTGCATTTTCTTTTTTTTTTTATATTTCTTTATTTTTATTATATGAAAGTTTTAACATTTGCGTGTGAGGTACCCCAAAGGCAATCCTCCAGCACATTAAAACAACCAGACACAGAGATATATGTTTAAACACAACAAAAATTAAACAGACAAACAAAAAAAACAACAAAAAAAGTCAATATAACTGCTTAAGATATGCTGGCAATATATTGTAATATAGGCACTGTGTAAAATTAAACACAGAAAGTTTCCACATAAAATACAGTGTTTCCATTGAAAACCATCATACACACGATGTATATTTCAGTCACGCTACATTTGTCCACTGCCAACCGCTATCAGAAGGAATTCACACCAAAAATTCCATGGTATAGCTGTCACATTGATAAACATACAAAAAAATCTTTTATAATACGAATAAATTACATTCTCTGAGACTCGATATGGGGGGAACCACAAACTGTTATCATATATACGGTCTATTTGTCCAGGGTAACCATAGTTTGGCCACATCTCTAGTGCCAAAAAAGGGGTTTGATTCCATCCTGTACTGATAATCTATTTGCTCCATAATATTGTGCCATATTAATGGGATAGAAGATTTCCAAGCCCTAGCTATACATATTTTAATGGCAAAAAATATATGGGTCAAAAGGTATTTTTGATATTTATCTTGCGAAGGGAAACCAATGTTAAAGAGAAAAAGTTGAGGGCTAGTTTCTTTTATCTCCTTAAAAATAGAATTAATAAGGCCAAGCATTTGAATTTTTATATTATTAAGACCCTGACACTCCCACCATATATGATAATTAGTGCCCTCCTCATTTCCACATCTCCAACAATTCCTAGAATGTACAGATGATATTTTATATAGTCTAGCCGGTACCATATACCACCTATATATTATCTTTAAATGTGTTTCATAGAGAGAGACGCTATGTATACAGCGCTTAACTAGGAGTGTAGCTTTGGTCCATTCCAGAAGTGGAAAGGATTCCCCAATATCTTGTTCCCATTTAACAAAAGAGGTAGCATGAGAGTCTTGTTCCATTGATTCTAGCTATTTAATAAATCTAGAAATCCCTCCCTTCTTTTTATATAATACAATAAGGGGATTAACATTGTGGTCCTTAAGTATAGTCCGAGATAGTAGAAAATTCTTAATCCTTAGATATTGAAAAAGATCTCTAGGGGAAAGATTATACTTTTCTTGCACTTGTATAAATGGGATGGGTTTAAATCCATCCCATAAATCCGAGATCTTCACTATGCCTAGGTATGTCCAAGATTGAACATTTATATTATCCATTGTATGTTGTAGGACCACTAATGGAACCCTATATAATAATTTATCTTCTAGCTTCAATTTTTTATTTAGGATTTTGGAGGTATTGATCATATCTATCAATATACGGTTCGAAAAATACTTGGTATCCAGTTCACCCAAATTCAACATACCCATCCAAAAAAGAATGAACAATTTATATCTAGGGCTATCCTCCTGTTCTAGAGTAAGCCATGATTTATATCCCTGTTCCTTGTCTAGCCACTATAAAAGATGAGTCACCATACATGCTTCATGGATTTTATCAACATCTGGAAATGCTATTCCTCCCTTCTGATAGCTCCTTCGAAGAGTGTCAAAAGCTATCCCAGGTGGTTTATTTGCCCAAATACATTTGGAAATCAGAGTTTGAAAATGGTTAAGAATACCTATCCCCAGTCTATAAGGAATCACCCTAAGATCGTATACAAGTTTAGGTATCAGGAATGCCTTGATCATATTTAATCTTCCTATCCATGAGGACTCAATCTTCCTCCATTTGTCTACCAGTTGTTGCAAATCTCTTAATAATTTATCATAGTTTGTTTGTATCATCCTCTCTATATCAAAGGATATTTTAATCCCCAAATAGCCAATAGTATCTTTTGCCCATAAGAATTGGAAATGTGCAGTCAGAAGATCTTTCTGAGCCTCAGATAAAAAGGAGGCTAAAATTTGTTTTTTTTTCATATTGACCTTATAGTTGGAGAAACTACTATAGATGGATATAACATCCAATACCGATGGAATTGAAACCATCGGATGCGTTAGGATAAGGAGGATATCATCTGCAAAAAGGGAAATCTTGGTTTCCCCATTGAGAGACTTGACCCCCTTTACATTAGTATCCTGTCTGATCAAGGTGGCCAAATGTTCAATTGTAAGAATATATAACAGGGGAGCCAAAGGGCAACCCTGTCTAGTACCATTTTTGACCTCAAAATGGTCAGACTCAACAAAAGAGTTTATTATTTTAGCTGTAGAACTCCTATATAACAACATAGTTTTATGTCTAAACTGACCCTCTAAGCCAAATTGGCCCATGACAGAGTCCAGGAATCTCCAATTGACTCTGTCAAAGGCCTTCTCAGCATCGAGAGCCATTATAACAGATCCCCATTTATGCTCATTTATTCTATGTATTAAGTTAAATATCCTACGTGTATTATCTGTAGTACCTCTCCCTCGCACAAATCAAGACTGATCAACGTCAATCAGTTCTCCAATTACCTCTTTCAATCGATTGGCCAATGTTTGAGAGAATATCTTTATATCTAAATTAATAAGAGGTATAGGTCTATAGTTAGTAATAAGTGTTGGGTCTTTCCCTACTTTGGGTATAGGAATGATTGAAGTCAATAACATCTCGTTAGGGAAGGGGGTATCCGCGGACACCTTCGTAAACATCTCTAAAAGGATAGGGAAAATGAGTCTAGAAAAGGTTTTATAGAACATTGTTGAAAAGCCATCTGGGCCTG